GTCATTTGGTAGGATTGTTTATATAAATATATACGTGTGTGCGTGTGTGAGTGTGTGAGTGTGTATATATATAAAGAGAGAGAGAAAGAGAGAGTAGGGGATGTCGACAAATATGGTTTTTGTATAGGATGAAGAGGGAGGTTGGCAAATAAAATAAAATTATGTGAGTAGGATGAGTTGTTAGCTAACTTTATTAGCTTTACGAGGGATAGAGAGCAGAGTGGGAAAGAGGCATATGAAACATGTCGATTATGCTTGCAATGGCTTCTTCACTGGGGCGGTTACCGAATCATAGGCCGCCCCACGCGAATCCCTTTTTGTTGCCAATTTTTTAATGGATTTCTCCCTTTGCGTGTGTATGTGACACTGTGTGTGTGTGTGTGAGAGAGAGAGAGAGAGAAGCTATATGTATCTATCTGGCATTTCATCGTGAACCAAATAAATCAATGCCTCAATGAATGCATTTTCTCTCTACTTCAAACTCAATGTCCTCCTCCATGCAACAATAATGTTTTTATATCAAATTCAAAACAACCCATCATAACAAACGCCCCTTTTTTTTCTTTTCTTTTTTTTGTCAATTTAAAAAGATCATAAAGCTATAGTTTGATATGATGAATCACTTTGACTCATTGGTTCAAGTGAGTAAATCGATTAATGGTCAACTTTGTTATGTCACTTGATCTAAGTTAAATTCAACTTCTAATTTTCAGTTGGGACAAAATGACTTGATCAATCAAGCGAGTTACGTAATGATTTCAAATTTTTCTATTTTTGGTCATTTCCCTTAAAATTGACATATAAAATAGATTCAATTTAGTGGATTTTACTGTGGAAAGTTTGTACGAGTCTTGTGAATTAGTCTAGGCATCTCGAATTTTTGAATTTTTTTTTTTTTTTTTTTTAACATAGAAAAGTGGAAAACAATGGAGTGGGTACATTTGAATACAAATGTCTAGCAAAGACTTTGCCAGCTAAAAAGGAGAGGAGATGAACAGTTTAGAATGACATTGACAAGCTCCACAGCAGCAGAATAATAAAAAGATTCTCACTACCCTTTACGCCAAATTTTATATGTATATTATTATAACTTATATATATATATGTATATGTATATGTATATCCTCCTATTCACGAATATGGTAATGCCCCATCCACTTTTATATAAAACTTATCCTCTGCAACCACACTGGGCACTATATCATTCTTCTCAATCAATTTGTACAACAATATGGAGATGGGAGACATTTTGTGTTGGAGGCTACTTTTGTACTAATAATATGTCTTTGATGACTAGAAAATAAACACCAACTCTTCTACAGAGTATTTCATTTTCATTTCCCTTTTCTTAGTCCTTTGTCACGGGTCTAGAGATTTGGCGCAGCGGCACGGCCCGTGCGGCACCAAGGCGTTGTTTCAGCTCGCGCAAGCGCCCTGGTCAGCCACCACGACCTGCCCTCCCAAGGATACATGCTGACTGGTTTCGGCCTGCCATGGCCTCGTCAGGGGAACGGCTCTAGCTCCCGACCAGTTTGTGCAGGGATGGCCAACTCCCTTCTTCATAGTCAAGTCCAAGACTAGCGACAAGCACCTCGAACTGAACCGAGTCGACCTGCCTGAACTCTGAAGAGGTACCATCCTGTGGTCCTGCACGCCCCTTCCCTGGAACCATTCCCAGTCAATGAATGTTCTTAGCCAACCAGCATGCGTGTCTTCTATGCTCATGGCGTCGTTAGGAATCGGATCGTGACATTCTCCCCCACCCAAATCCTGCGACGCCCTCGTCGCAGTGCGGCGCTGACTCCGCTGCGTCCAACATTCCAAAGCCTGTCTCCTCCAAGTGGTATGCTCGCCTGCCCACCATCGCTTCCTTGTACAACCCCTGGCTGCACTCGCCCAATGATAGGGTTTCGGGCTAAAGGGACGCCCACTTCTTCGGGACGCAACCCCACGTTATGCCGCCTCCGCGACACCCCGAGCAAACAAGCGCCCTCCGGCTGACTTGATACCCGCCCTTCACAACGGTTTGCACGCCTCTTGAACTTGCAAGAACTTTGGTGCGCGCGGCCCTCCGGCCATCCGATGCGCGCGGCCCTCCGGCTTAAAGGACGCATCTTCATGGGGAGATGGAGGCTCTCCTCCAGCAGCATTGATTACCCACCGACGCTTTTTCAGTGCACCGTCTTCATTCTCAAGACCCCCGGATCGACAAGGGGGCATACCTCTGTGCTTTTCCCCAAGTCCTGCTCTGATACCATTTGTCACGGGCCTAGAGATTTGGCGCAGCGGCACGGCCCGTGCGGCACCAAGGCGTTGCTTCAGCTCGCGCAAGCGCCCTGGTCAGCCACCACGACCTGCCCTCCCAAAGATACATGCTGACTGGTTTCGGCCTGCCATGGCCTCGTCAGGGGAACGGCTCCAGCTCCCGACCAGTTTGTGCAGGGATGGCCAACTCCCTTCTTCATAGTCAAGTCCAAGACTAGCGACAAGCACCTCGAACTGAACCGAGTCGACCTGCCTGAACTCTGAAGAGGTACCATCCTGTGGTCCTGCACGCCCCTTCCCTGGAACCATTCCCAATCAATGAATGTTCTTAACCAACCAGCATGCGTGTCTTCTATGCTCATGGCGTCGTTAGGAATCGGATCGTGACACCTTGCTATCATCATCTATATAAGCCACCTGTATCTGCCACTTTTCATTACAAGTTTATCTGTCCTTTTTCTTTCCTTTTTTTTTTTAGACTTAATAAGATATTAGCATGCATATATGTGTGTGTCTGCGTGTATTTTTTTTAGACTTAATAAGATATTAGCATGCATATATGTGTGTGTCTTAGTGTATTTAATCTAATTTAATTTCTGTCTTTGAATTCGACAAGTATCCACACACATTTAGTCGTGCTCAGACTCGTACACATTAATTTGGTAATGTTCTTATGTACAAGTGTCCTGCGTCATTACCACTACTGCATTGTATTATTACGAGAAACACTCTGTGCATACATGGATTGATTTTTGCGCGCCATTTTAATGGAGAAAGTGGTGGTAATACACGTCCAAATATGGCCTTCATATCCGTCATTCTAAAGTTTAGGGTAAACTACATTAAATTCTTTTTTTTATATTTGTATTTTTTACTAAACCTTCTTCTTTTATTTTTTTGTCAAAAAATCTTCCTCAACTATTTATGGGGGTAATTTAACTAACGAAAGTTAGTTAAAAGAGAATTAAAATATAAATTGACTTAAATACCCATTAAAGCCTATTTAAAAATCTACTTTACTTCTGTTGTTTTTTTTTTTATTATTAAATAACCTAAACAACATCATTCATAGAAATTAACACTTCTATTTTTTGTTTTTTTTGTTTTTTTTTTTTTTTTTTTTTTTTAATATTTTACGAGACTGACAAGTTCACATTAGTCATGTGGAAGGAATTTTTTTATTTTTTTATAGAAAAAAATGATATTGAAATATATATAAAAAATAAAAAAATAAAAAAGAAGAAGAAAACATGTAGGCATAAATATTAATATAAAAAAGGAAAAAAAATTAGGTATTATTTCTTGTAGTGTCCATTTAATAAATCTATATAAAATGAAAATCAATAAAAATCAAATAAATGAATGCACAATATAATTCTCAAATATATATATATATATAGCAGATAAATTTCAAGAAAAAAACCTAGATTTATATTGGTATGAAGACTGAATGGAAATGAAAATATAGTATAAATAATATTTAATGATACATATTATATATACCATTATATTATGATACAAATTATATATAATATTATAATGATGGAAGAGTACATGTTGCTGCAATGGTAGAAGATATGCGGCTAAGAGCGATAATGTAGTAGATATATATGTGAGCGATAATATGTCTAAAAAATATATGAGAAACTAAATGTTCAAACAGTTCCTTTTCAACTAATTTCCGTTAGTTAAATCACCTCCCTCGAATAGTTGAGGGGGGTTTATTGACAAAAAATAATAAATAAAAAAAAGGATTTAGTAAAAAACACAGATAGAAAAAGGGAGTTTAATGTAGTTTACCCTAAAGTTTAATTGTCCAAACGTTTTTGTAAATTAAATTGGAAATACACACATGGATTTAACATGCAACACAAATATTTTTTCAGGTTAAAATCGAGTCCATCAGGCAGGACATGTAAAATAACTTGTAAAAAATTGACATATAAGTTATTTTTGTTAAATTTGATTTTTTTTTTTTTTTTATAAAGACAGGACATGTTGTAAAATAACTAGTAGAAAATTAACGAATAAGTTATTTTTGTTAAATTTGAATATATATTTTTTTATAAATATTTATGAAAAATAAAATATATATATTAAAAATAAAATATTCATCAATTTTTAACAAGTTATTTGACAAGCCCCACCCAATGAATTTGACTTCAATCTCGACTTAGACCTTTACCAAACACCAAAAAATAAAAATATTTAAAAAAATAATTTACCTAAAAAACGAAGAAGATATTTTACATGGTCACAAACAGAGGCTTAATGTGTAAGAAGCATCTGCATTAAGTGGTATGTTATTCCTAGAGTTATCATTAAAAACCAGAGCCTCCTATTTGAGCACTCAGTTTGGGCAGGCTGGGGTTGGCAAAAACACTTCTCGTGGTAATCAAGCCCAAGCCCATGGAAGAATAGATGGGTCTGTTGGTGAATTCTCATTTCTTGGCATAAAAGTTGAACCATAGTACACACTCTTGCCAAACACCACCTTGCATCATTTCACAAACATGTTAATCTTCAGCTAGCAAATAGCAGCGAATTCAAGGAAAGAAACATTAAAAGAGACAATTATCATTTATCTTAAATCATTGATTTACTATTACAACAATATTTTCATCTTCATAAAGTTATGGTAGAGTGGATAATGTGAGCATGAATAAATTCCTTACATTAGTAAGCCTATATATATATATATAAATGAATTGGTGGCAATACAAGAAACATAGATATAAACAAAATTAAGAGTACATCCACCCAGGCTCTTTATCAAAGGCTTTGTTAAGTGGTGGCAATGAACTATGTGAATAAATCACAATAATGAACTTCCTAATCATTTTGTAATTTCAATCCTTGAAAACTGACAAGTCTAGCCACAAAATATGATATGATTTAATGATGCCAATCAATTCTTTGAGCCTTTAACCCAAAATGCTTAAATTAACCTACTACAATGACTAAACTATTTTGACGACTCAGACTGACTAAAAGCATTTGATAACTGCTTCATACTTAACAAGTATTTACAATTTTTTGGACCGAACTAACCTCAAACTAGAACTCCAACTTGATCTGTGGGCTCTGGCTGACGCTGTGTTCTATACTCTTCGGGATATCAGTTAATACAATACTTCCGCCACTATAACCGTTAACAAGCAACTTCCCAATCTTTGACCTCCATTCTGAGCTGTCAATCTCATTCTTCCTGTCATGAACAACTCTGTCGCAGTAGTTAAGCATAGTTCCTAAGCCAGTATTTGGTACCCAGCCATATTCCGTTAACACCCGAGCTTCACCTTCAGTCAAGTCCTTTCCAACCTTAAATCATAGAGATACGCTAGGGTAAGACATGAAATTCAACAGCACATGCTCTGATAAAAAGCAATAATATGTGATAAAAAAATCAAGAGGAAGTGCATAAACTTCAGCAGCCATGAGTGAGACAAGTAAACCTTGCTCATAAGCTTCGACCAAATTCCATAAAAAAACCATTACTCCAAATCTAAACTTGCGATACGGCAGTGCTAGGAGGGATTGACTGCCCTCAAACTCACATTTGCAAGCTTACCAATCACAGCTAATAGCTTTTACCATTGCACCCAGCAATGGCTCCTTTAGCTTCAATTGAAATTATTGAACAAATTGATTGTAAAACAGGATATGCTGACCCAAATGCTGGTAAAAGGAATATCAAAACCAAACATACCCAAAACTTCCCAACCAAAACAAAAACCTTAATAATAATAATAAAAAGAAAAGGAAGAAGCTTTGCTAACAGAATTAGCATAACGCTCATAAACTCAGTAATACTAACAGAGTGCTCTATATCCAATGTAATATTAGTTCTGTTTCGCCGCAAGGCGGGCTGGCTAAATGTTGCCCTATATTTTCAGTCTTGTTCTGTATGTCTTGTAAGAGACCACGGGTATTAAAGAACATTGACATTATAGCATTCTATTAAAGGGTGCGTGTGACTTGGGTGTCTTTTGCCTATCCAAAGAATAATATAAATAAACAAATAAAATTGGAAGTCCTGCCAAAAACGTGCCATGGACAAAATATGATGCGGATAAAAAATAGCTTTTCTGATAAACTTATTTACCCAAAAAAAATTATACAGCTTTTCTGATTCGGATGGGTATCTAACTACACCCCATGCATTGCCAAGGTGACCTACTATATGACATCAAGTAGCCATGTGGCATTCTCTCATGCTGCTTTGAGATGTTTTAATTGAATCACTATCCAATGGATCACCATCCAAATCTCCAGCCAACATGAGAAACAGCTCAACAAGATACATGGTCCCCTCCAAATATGACGTGTTGGACCACCATGAAATTCCAAATGTGTGTCATGGTCCGCACACATCGTGCAAGCACCTCAAACTACAAAAAGTGGATATAGGAACAAGCATAACTGACACTGTGCACCTGCCCTCAAGGCTTAGACACCATATCATCCCCACCGACACATTTCAACCTCCCTCTACTTTCCTGCTCACCTCATTGCCGTACCACAGCCTACCAACAATAATCAAGCCATAAATCAGCTAATTGCACATCAAAGACACTCTGAGAAGAAGCTGAAAGCTAGTCCTCCAGCTATTCTTGCTTTCATGTACATATTCTTAAAACATTTCAATGGCTTTCATCAAAAGTTGTGAAGTTTTACAAAACAATATAAAACTTGAGCATTTTTTAAAATAATCAGCAGAACTCTCAAAACATATCGAGAAGATTAAAATGCAAACACAGTTTGAAATATTTGTCAGTGGTAACTTACTTACATTTTGATTTCATCATATTAAACATCGATTGAGATTAAGCATGAGAATATCCAATTTTTCTCATTTTGCTGTGGCCCTTTATATGTGTCGTACAGTATTGTATGAGTTATCACGTGTACAATTATATTACATTGTATATTAAGGTTTTCTGTATACTGTAGCGGCCTTCACCTACCCCTCGTTACCATATATAGAATTACCATGTATAGGGTTTACTTGTTCTCCACTCACCTACTCCCGTAACTTCTCCTATATAAACACCATTGTATTATTGTATTACTCACTCAATAACACATACGTTTTCATATATATTCTCTCTCTCTCTCTCTCTTTCAACATGGTATCAAGTGGAAACTAATCCCCTCTTAAAAAAAAAAAAAAAAAAAAAAAAAATTCAGTCTTACTCAAACTCTGATCTTGATTCCATCTCGGCTTTCTCTCAGCAATCTCTTCTTGGCGTTCTCTCCTCGGTGATCTCGATTCTCGTCTCGGCAATCTCTCTCGGATCCCTCCTAGGCTCTCTCCTCGGTAATTTCTCTTGGGTTCATCTCGGCTTGATCTTGGTTCTCTTATCTCGGCTCCCTCTCGCTACTATATCTCATTTGTTCGACAACTCTTGTTATGGATACTAAGGAATCTCATCTTCTTGGGTCAATCACCAGCACAAAACTAAAAGGCTCGAACTACCTTCAATGGTCTCAAGCCGTAGAGGTGTTCTTACGGGCTCGAGGAAAACTGTCCCATCTTAAATCAACCAAACCCACCAGTGATGAAAAGATTATTGAGGCTTGGGAGAAAGAAGATGCTCAGATTATGACTTGGTTATGGAACAGCTTGGCGCCTGAGATCTTTAACAACGTGTCATTCCTAGAATCTGCCAAAGATATCTGGAAAAATCTCAGGGACATGTATTCTTCAAAGAAGAATATTTCTCGTATTTATCCGTTATACTAGGATATTTTTAATCTCCAGTAGGGAGATTGTTCTGTTGAAGATTATTACTCAGAACTAAAGGGTGTGTGAGATGAATTGAATGTCTACCAACCATTGACTACAGACATAGAACAAAAAAACGGCACAGGGAGTTTCGGGTGACAAAATTTTTATCTGGACTTAAACCCGAACTTGCTCCGACCAGTTCGCAGATTTTGTCATACCCACAGCTAGTGAGACTTTTGCTCGAGTTCGAAGAGCATCTATTCACACCCCTGTGATTGAGAAAGGCAACCACTCTGCTGCTGTTGTTCCTACTGAGCGACATGATACTTTTCGTGGAGGACGAGGGAGCAGAGGTCTTTCCAACCCAGGCCGTGGTACTAGTGGCGGCAGAGGGGATCGCGGCAGCAAAAAGTATACTCATTGTGGCCGAAACAATCACTCTATTGACTTCTGTTGGGCTCTTCATGGCAAGCCAGCTTGGACTAATCAAGCTTCGGCTTTAGAGGAGACTACTCCCACTCTTGCGAATGAATAAAGCATTCTCTCCAAAGCCGAGTATGATTCTCCGGTAAAGCGTAAGTGTGCAAATCAAACCTCCACCACCACTACTATCGTTACTTCAGGTAATAATACATGCCTCCGTGCTTCATCTTCTGCACCTTGGATCATTGATTCAGGGGCATCCGATCACATGACAGGTAACCCATCTCTTCTTTTTGATACTTCTCATGTTTTCTCACAATTGGTTGTTACTATAGCGAATGGTGCCAAATAATCTGTACATGGAATTGGTACCTTCCACACTTCAGGTCTCACTTTTTCATTAGTTTTATAAATCCCTCAATTTTCATTCAATTTATTGTCAGTTCGCAAAATCATATCAATTTTAACTTGCTCAGTTACTTTTTCTCCTTCCCATTGTGTCTTTCAGGATCTCAAGACGAAGAAGACAATTGGTGGGGGGTTTGAGAAGGATGGTATTTACTACTTCCAGCTGCTCCGACAGCTCTACATTCCACCTCCTCTTCAGCTTACTAGTGGCATTGCCGCCTTGGACATCCCTCTTCAAATAGTCTTCGAGCCTTGGTCCCTTCCTAAGTTGATTTTTCTAAGTTTAATTGTACTACTTGCGAACTTAGTAAACATCGTCGGGCTACTTTTAAGTCTTGTTTTGATAATAAAAGTTTGAAACCTTTTGAGTTAGTACATTCGGATGTTTGGGGACCAGCTCGTACTACTAGTTTATTTGGTGCTCGTTATTTTGTGTCGTTTATTGATGATTATTCACGTTTAACTTGGGTTTATATTCTTAAAGATAGATCTCAAGTATTCTTTGTTTTTCAATCCTTTTATGCTGGAATTCAAAATCAGTTTGATGCAAAATTACTTGTTCTTAGAAATGACAATGCCTTTGAATATAAACTCAATATTTTTCAAAAGTTTCTTGAGTCGAGGGGCATTATCCATCAAACATCTTGTGTTGATACCCCTCAACAAAATGGAATTGCTGAATGAAATAATGGCCCACTCCTAGCTATTGCTCATGCCTTAATAATTCAAATACATGTTCCAAAACATTTTTGGACAGATGCTGTTCTGGTTGCTGCTTATCTTTTAAACTGCATGCCTTATAGGGTCCTTCAAGGAAAATCACCCTTCCAAATGATGTTTTCTGACAAAAACCCTTTTTTCCATTCCTCCAAAGGTGTTTAGGTGTGTTTGTTTTGTTCATTATCTAAGCCCAAGACGAGACAAACTTGATCCTCGTGCTCACAAATGTATTTTCTTAGGTTATTCTCGCACTCAAAAGGGATATAAATGTTACAATCCAACTCTTCGTAAACAATGTGTGTGCAGATGTAACTTTCTTTGAGCATGTTCCTTATTATTCCCAGGATGACAGTGGTTTGGAGGACTCTGTTCTTCAAAAGTTTGTTCTTCCAACTCCAGTTTTTTATTTTGACATCCCACCAGCTCTTCGTGTCTATGTTCGTCACCGGAAAAGAGTAGTTAATCATGTTCCAACGACTGAAGTAGTAAACCCAGCCTTGCCAGTTACTTCAATGCCTGAAGATTCTTCCATCTCTCCGGACTCTGATCTTGATCAACCTATTATTGTTCGGAAAGGTAAACGGTTTTGCACCAATTACCCTATCTCTAATTTTGTATCATATAATAAATTGTCCTCCTCCTTTAAAGCTTTTTCTTTGTCATTATCCTCTATTGCTCTTCCTAAGTCATACAGGGAGGTACTTTCTCATCCAGGGCGGAGGAAAGTTATGGAAGAAGAAATAAACACTTTAAAATTGAATCATACTTGGGACCTTGTTCCTAAGCTTGTTAATACTCAGGTTGTTGGTTGTCGTTGGGTTTTTACTGTTAAACAAAAGCCTAATGGTATTGTTGACCGTCTCAAAGCTCGACTTGTTGCTAAAAGGCTACACTCAGACTTATGGCCTTGATTCTCCTGTGGCCAAACTGAATTATGTTCATGTGATAATCTCTCTTGCAGCTAATCTGGACTGGCCACTTCATCAACTTGATGTTAGAAATGCCTTTCTGCACAGTGACCTTACTGAGACGGTCTATATGGCTCAACCACCTAGGTTTGAGTCTAAGGGGGAGTGTGTGTGTCATCTCAAAAAGTCTATCTATGGCCCTAAACAGTCCCCTCGTGTATGGTTTGATAAGTTAAGTAAAGCAGCGGTAGCTCATGGTATGACAAGAAGCCAGGCTGATTACTCTCTCTTTTTTAAGAAAACAAATCATGGTATTGTGATTCTTGTGGTGTATGTAGATGATATCTTTATCACCGGTAGTGACAAAGATAAGATAAAAGTTCTAATCCATCACTTGAGTTCTAGCTTCCTTACTAAGGATTTAGGAAAACTTCTGTATTTTCTAAGAATTGAGGTGGCTAGGTCGAAGCAAGACATTAGTCTTTCTCAGAGGAAGTATACTCTTGATCTCTTACAGGATACTGGATATCGTGGTTCGAAACCTGTAGCTACACCCATGGAAACTAATGTAAAACTTAGGGAGGATGATGGTGACCCACTTGATGATCCAAAGATGTATCGGAGACTTGTAGGTAAACTTATTTACCTCACAGTCACTCGTCCAGATATCTCCTATGCAGTCAGTGTTGTGAGTCAGTTCATGACCAGTCCTTGGGTACCTCATATGGAGGCAGTTGTACGCATCTTAAAGTATCTCAAGGGTGCTCCAGGACGTGGTCTACTTTATCAATCTTCTGGACATCTTCGGATTGAGGGATACACAGATGCAGATTGGGCCGGTTCTCCTTCTGATCGACGGTCCACCACGGGTTACTGCACCTTCATAGGAGGAAATCTAATAACTTGGAGGAGTAAGAAACACTCAGTTGTGGCTCATTCCAATGCTGAAGCAGAGTATCGTGCCATGGCACACACTTCTTGTGAACTTACTTGGTCGAAAACTCTTTCACAGGAACTTCGGATTTCAGTTCAGTACCCAATTCCTCTTCATTGTGACAATCAGGCAACTATTCATATTGCTAGCAATCCAGTCTACTATGAGAGGACTAAACACATTGAAGTAGATTGCCATTTCATTCGATCTAAAGTTGACTCGAATGAGATTGTTACACCTTTTGTTCCTTCTAGTAGACAGCTGGTAGATATCTTCACTAACGCTTCCCGAGAACTCTATTGATTCCATATGTAGCAAGCTAGGAGTTATCAACATTTACTCTCCATCTTGAGAGGGACTGTTGTACGGTATTGTATGAGTTGTCACACGTGTACAATTAGATTACATTGTATATTAGGGTATTCTGTATTCTGTAGCCACCTTCCCCTACCCCTCGTTACCATATATAGAATTACCGTGTATAGGGTTTACTTGTTCTCCACTCACCTACTTCCGTAGCTTCTCCTATATAAACACCATTGTATTATTGTATTACTCACTCAATAACATATACCTTTTCATATATTCTCTCTCTCTCTCTTTCAACAATGTGTATTGAGACCCCGCAAGTACAAATTCTTCTCCTTCCATCTCCCTCTAAAGTCTAATGTAAATGTTTTCACTGAAGAAAGTCTAAAAAAAAAAAAACAACCAACAGGCCTGTGGCCTAGCAGTATAAGGCTCCTACTTCCCAAAGGGAGGTTAGGAGTTCAAACTTCAGTGGAGGCAGTGTGTGTGGGTTTCCCAACTAGGAAAAATAAAAAATAAAAAAAAAATGAAAAAAAATAAATAACTGGAAGGCTATGCAATATTCATTTCAAGCTTTGGACTCCCCTAGAGAGACAGAAGACTATTTGCGTCGTCCTCCCTGCCACCATTATTGAGATAGACCAAAAATGGCAGGGTTTGTCATGTTTGTAAGTCTTTGTTCAGACAGATCTCTAATAGGGAATTTGATACTGATTTATAATTAGGGGTATATTTGGAATTAAACATGTATAAAAACTGTTATAAATAAAGAAAATGGACAATATTCTATGAAAGACTGATGGAACCAGTTACCAGACCAATTATATGATTTGGGTAATGATCAAACTTAGTGATAACAAAATTTCAGAGTGAAATAAAGAAACAACTGTGGCACATGTGATGCTCTGCCCATTTAAGGATTTCAGAGTGAAATCCTTAAATGCAGCAACAGATTAGGTCAACAAACACAATAACAACATAGAGAAATGAAACTTTGGGGTGAATAACATAAAAGTTTCAAAAAAACAATATCAGCAAACATGCAAAAAAAGAAGAAGCTATGTATCAAATCATTACCACTAGTGCTTTGTTCTCAATTAGGGTAACCCTGCCACAGTTAGTAAGCTTCATGGCAGTCACCAACCGCTTGACCTGCCAATCAATGGGCAAGGAATCCACTAGCTCAAAGAAGTATGTAGCATAGCCATATTCAGGACGTTCCAGCACTATTCTGCATTCAGGTGAAATGGAAGTATCTCTGTCATTCAGGTGAAATGGAAGTACCTCTGTCATTCAGAACAAGTAGATAAAAGGAGAGGAAAAGAGAGGAGAGAGAAAAAAAAAAAATAAAGAAAAAAAAAAAGAGGATTCTAAAGCATAACTTTTTTTTTTGGTAAGTTTTAAAGCATAACTTGTGTCACCAACAATACACCTGTTATAAACTTCCAAAAAAAAAAAATAATACACCTGTTATGTCTTTCAAAGACGAATATAAATGACTGGAGATCACGGCACCAACCCCATTCAACAGGCCATTTCCGAAACTGTAGATACCGTGCCTACAAGTTAAAAATAGTGATCAATGGATAGAGTAATGAAACGAGTGAATAAAAGCTTACAATCAATACAAAATCACTGGTCACCATATTTAACCACAATTAAGGAAAGTTCCTACCTGCTCCACAAGCGATATTAGACAAGCCAAGCAATAACTAGCCTTCTCACCCTTAACGCACCGTACGGGAGCAAACTTCAATAACGAGGGACGCTGGGAGCAAAGCTGTCCCCAATTAAAGAAAAAGTAATCTCAGAAATAATGTGGAGCAAAGGTTCAATTCACAGCATGCTTCAACGAATATTAGCAAAATGACTGAATAGAAGAAATGAGAATATACCAGGAAGTGAATAACATTTGCACATGGAAATCTATTGAAAGCACAATAAGTAATAATTGGTAGCAATCTATAAGGGTCGTTTACCAACATGGTCCCTGTCAATAGAGAATGCTGGGAGGGGTGATACTGGATAAAAACCAACATTTGGACAAAGTAGCTGCTCTCGAATTCAAACCACGTTTTCACTCTTGACAGCCCTAGCATTTACCAGTGCACCGAGCAATGGCCCTCCAAAAGGTAACAATACGTATAAATAGAAAAAATCCACTTTCCATTTCGCTAGTTTATTAAGAACCAAATATATACATATAAATGGATCCTGCTAACCTCCCAGCTTGACGGGGACATTTGCAAGCTTTCCATTTTGATTTGGATAACATTTTCCCCCTCAAACCTAAAACTTCTTGAATTTAACATGGTGAATTGTCATGTTGAAGTCCTACTTCAAATCCCCTCAAGAAGCCCTGATATACGAGACCACCTATAAACAAGACCCTATCTCGCTCTTTCACAAACACACAAATGTGGGGTGAAACACAAATACACATGGGGGCCATAAAACAGATACCATGATCACAGAACTGTTGCCAACCTTTGACATCACAGCTTCAAGCTCTGTGAAACTGCCTTCACTGAATGAATCTTCGAGGGAATCATCACTCTCCATTTCACCATAAAGCTTCATTTCGTTGATTGATACCCCTTTGTCAATCAAAACCTGCCAGTTGACATTCATGAATGACCCAATTCAAAAGGAAAACACAACAGAGACATCAATAGTACCTGCAGGAGTCCAGGAGCATCTTCCTCCAGTGCTGTTTCAACCGAATCGCTGCAACATATATATATATAAGAAACAGAAGAGACCCTCAGATTAACATAGGCAGGGAAAGAAATTTTCAAAATAATAAATAAATAAATAAGCATGAAAAAAAAATATACCAAGATACATACACGGATATATACATACATATATATATATACCTATTTGTACATCATAATATTTATATACACACACATTATGGATACACATTTATGTAGATTCAACATAAGCAAAAATTACGTGGCAGTTTTTCTCCTTTTCCGTGGATGAATGATTCTTAATGGTTTAGCAGGTTCAGATAAAATAGGGGAACTGTCTATGGCAGAGGGCACAATTTTCCTCGAGCATTTGAAGTTTTGGGAAATATCCAAATTAGGAACCTTTCTTGGTGACAGCAATTTCATTCGCTCTCGTAGCAACATATCGTCTAGTTCATCTCCATAAGATTCTTCAAGGGTTTCAAGTTCCTTCTTCACTGATACTATGTTTTCCAAGGGGAAGTTACTGACTGCATTCTTGTTCCGATTGTGCAAGTCACTGTTATCCAAGGGTTCAACCTTTACAGTAGCAAAACTTGTTAAAGTTGAACCAAGCATGCTATTGCGGTCACCAGACACAAAATCATGCCTACCACTTGATTCATATATGCTGGGAGCTTTCTTAGATGAGGAAACTCCGTCTTTTTCTTGAACTCCCATTAAGTTTTCAGATTTAATTGATTCAATCCCTTGGCAGGACCCCTTTAACGATGAACATTGAGGAGTTGTAGAAGACGATCCTGCAATAATACTATTTGATGAACCAGACTTCTGCTTCTTGCGAAAGTCAGAAACATTTCTTTCAGAAACAGCATGAGTATGAGTTCCACCGACTGAGGATTTTCCGTCACCAAAACGACTCTCTTTCTTACCTATCCCACCACAGCATTGAATCATATCTTCCACAACTGGGTTAGACAACCACGAAGAATCATCCTGTGTGACAAAAAGGTAATCAGCTACCTTAATAAAAAAGATAATAGCATCGACTAACCAATGTTCAAATAAAAACTTTATATTTCAGGGTGCACATTGCATACAACACAATAGAAGGCAAAGGAAACAAATTCAAACTACATTACATTATAAACCTCCAAGGAAGGGAAGAATACAGAAGACAAGTGGATGAAAGTCAAGAGATACGAGAGTTATCTCGCATGGCCTAATGTTGAGTAAGAGTCAAAAGTTTACCCAAGTTGTGCGTACCATTGTATAATCATGTGCTCAATAATGGCCGTATGCAACTAGAAGATTCTTGGCCAGAAACCATAGGAAAATGGTGAGAATAAAAGAGGGCTTAGAGTTTTAAATTGATATGGTTATTTCATCAATTCAGCAATATGTTGTATCTTGAGATTGGTAATACAGATCAAATGCTGGTAAAATGCAGAATACTTTCATAACAGAAAAAGTTAAATTAATAAAGAACTATCATGCACAAATTATCACAAAGATATAGATGATTTACTGTTTTTCTTCAAGAAACCACTTCATCTTTTTATGGATTGAATGACTAAGACTAAAAAAGAAACCCTTGTAATGAGAACTGTGAACACAAGGCTAAAATTTTCAACTAAAATCACACAATTTGATCTGCTGGATTCGAACCAGCAACTAAGTGGAATTCACTCTGGCTTCTGAACTTAGGTCAACTAGAGAGAAACCTCCATCTCCTTATGGTTACGAATTGCGCCAATAGGAAATGAGTTGGAAAATAATGATAATATGCCAACCCTATCCTTTATGATCTGTTTGACACGCTACATAGTCCCAAGGCATATATACATAAGATAATAACAAACAATTAGTTGTTGTCTACATTAACTCAACAGAAGAATTTCTACACCTTGCAAAGTAGAGACTATATGGCAAGGACAATCATGCACTAATGATTTAGTTTTGCATGAACTGTCTTTGCAATGATTTATACCAATTTACAGAAACTTCCATTTGAAGACATCATGGAAAGAAAAGCCTCAACTTGCCTACAAGCAGAACTCTTTCATCAAAATTCTTGGGCCAACTTCCATAGGCAAGACATAGTAACAATTAAAGGGATATAAATAAAACTAAACCCCATAACAGAGTAGGTTAATTTAACCCATTCTAACTTTTATCTAAAAGTAAGTGGAGACAGGTGATCAAGATGGTGACATAGGAAAAACTAACACTAATTGATGTAGGAGAGAGAGAAAGTAGAGAAGAAGAGGAGGAGAATGAAGAATAATCAAGGAGAGACACAAAGAACAAACGGATTTCACAGTGGAAGAAACTATTGCAATATTATCAGTAATCAAATATTAGAACATAAAGTGCAAAAATCCAATTACACCAAATGTATATTATTGGAAATCAAAATAAAAGATACCTACTCTATATTCAAATACTATTAACTACGAAAAATATCCCTAAAATATATCCCGCCTATGCCTGAAATAGCTGCATATAGCACACAGCGCATAGGAACAATCATGATCACCTGAGATGACGTTCAAGCTCCTAAATTTACCCATTCTACGTTTGGCCTAACCCTATGACAATTGGCTAGAAAAACCTAGGAGACAAATGTAATATAAGCCTTATAAGGAAAGAAGATAATTTTTATTTTTTTCATTTTCTTCTCATAGTGGAAAAATAACAGCAGTGAAAGAAAATATTTCGAAAGGGAAGAGATATCATACACAACAAGGTTTCTACATCTGAAAAATATGAAGTGACAACAACTGAAATAACAAAATGGACGACTTCTCGGAAACAAAACTTCTTTGAAAGAACAAAAGATACAATAAAATAACACACATATAAGATGCATATTGAAGAAAGATTTCCTCCAAAAGCAAAAAGTACAAGGAAAGCCCTAAGGCTCACTGAAACAACCAAGAAAGATAGACATGGATCCTCTCTAATGGTTTTTCTCTCCAAGCATTTCCATAGTTGTTAAAGGTGCGTCGAGGCTCTAAAAAAGCCCCAGGCTCATCTAGAGCGCCTCAACCTTGTACAAGCCAAGTGTAACAAGGGGAAGCTTGTCCCACATCGGATCTGGATAGGAGAGTGATTTGGTATATATGAGTTGGGTGTCAGCCCCACCTAATAGCTTAGGCTTTTGGGTCAAATCGCGAAGCACCCACCCGTTATAGTTGGTATCAAAGCCAAACCCAATCCTTCATCCGGTGTCACGCAAAGCGCCGGGCCCGGAAGGCGTCCGAGCAAGCCACCCGAGTAGGCAGGGTGACCTGACCGCAACGAGGGCGTTGCGAGTTCGGGTGGTGGAGAATGTAACAAGGGGGAGTTTGTCCCACATTAGATCCGGATGGGAGAGTGATTGAGCATATATGAGTTTGGTGTTAGCCCCATCTAATAGCTTAGGCTTTTGGCTCAAATCGCGAAGCACCCACTCGTTACACCAAGCCCCTTCAGTCAGGCTCACATAAAGCCCTCTGGCTCGCGCTGGTTTTAGTAGGTTCCAGCCTCAAAAAAAGCGTGCCTCTTAATTTTTAATAATTTATTCGTATCATCAGAATCAATGTTCTATATCAAACCATGATCATATTTAATGGATCATATTTTTCAATGTTATGAAAAATAGTTTATCCTTTCATCAGTAAAACTAATCATTGAACTACTAAATGTTTAATAAACGTTCAATTACTCAAAGTCAAAAGAAGAATAATTATTCCAGGCACTATGTTGTGGGGAATTAGGAAGTATGAAAACAAAGAACTTTCCACTATTCTGAGCCCCCAGTTGCAGTCTCACCAAAAGAATATGCCCCCTAATGCATAGTGATCTTTACTTCTTCATGACTTTGTTGCAATCCATCTTTCAAATGTGAAATTTGATTCATCATTAGAAAATTCTTATTATGCCTGGAATAAGATTTTAATTTCTTTAAAAACAAGCCAGTGGCCTAGCGGTACCAAGCCCTACTTCCCAAAGAGAGGTCTGAGGTTTGAGCCTCAGTGGAGGCATGTGTGTAGTACCAACTAAGAAAAAAATAATAATTTCTTTTTCACATGTTGCATCTTCTACGCTCATCGATTAATAGAAATTTATACTTTTACCAGAAAAATAAAGAAAACAAACTACCTCTAGAACTGCTCTTGTAAATTCCATCGATTTCCTACAAAGTAAAATAGAGAAATTAGGATTCGGTAATTTCTGCACACCACCAAAATTCAAAAGAACCTAGGAGGTCGTGAAAATCTTATATACCAAAAACGATTTAGAATAATCAATTAAATTATTGCTTTGAAGCTTCGGCTAAGAGAATCTAACAATTGATATAACAGACAGACACGTTTTTCAGACCAAGGGCCCAATTCAAAAGAACTATAAATCATCAAGGACGGAATAGCACCTTGACAGCAGCATCCTCTGGCGCTCTTTCAGAACAACATAATCAAGATCATCATTAAAATCATCAGAAATCTCAGGTTGTATCTTTTTTGCTTGCACATCAGCACCTGAATAGCCATTTACACCATTTCCTGATGAACTCAATGAGCTGTTATCAGCATACTCAATATTTACTTTGACAGGATACTTTGACAACATTGAACATTGAAGTAAAATGTTTGCACCAGTGTCAACTTTCTCCACTCCAACACTAGTACTGTTAACATCAGAACATATCAAACGATCTGAACAAATGCAGTCACCCACAAGCGTCCCTTGGCAACTGTATTCTCCCAGCACATCTGCACATTTTTCAAAGTAGAATGTAAACACAAATCTACTAATTTCACAGTATGAAACTTCCAAAAAAAAAAAACCTTATACAATAACTTTACCAGTATGAGTTTTTTCTAGTGAAAATCTTTCATTCCTCTGTTCCCTGGCAGAGCAAGAGGGATAGAAGCCCTGTATGGCATGCCCTTTAGATTAACAATGTTTAGAGAGAAAAGAAGAACATATCACATATAATAGATGAGTAATGGATGAAAGTACACTTCTGCTCATAAACATGTTTAAACTGCAGAGAAGACAGGAGCAGATCAAGAAGCTGAAGCATGTCGATAACCTCGACCATAAAGGCTAGTGTTAAAATTGTCAGTAATTTTTTAAAAAAAAGTAAATATAAATAATAATATTAAATATGAATATGATGAAAATAAAACTACATGAAGAGTAGCAGCTGTCAGTAACATGATCATTTCAAATATTAAACACCCAGTTCCAGTTAACGTAGTCCCAACTCTAGATTCTGCTATTATACTATCGACCATTAACAATATTCTCAAATATTAGTGATGCATGGTGATCTAAGAGGAAAAATTAAAAAGAAAAAGGAAAGAAAGAATCCAATTATAAAAAGCCATAAATCACATGTCAATACTGCTAAAAGTTTACACCGCATTACTCTTATAAAGAAACACAAGTATTTTATCAGCCTGATTATTGTGCAAATAGGATACGACAAACTGAAACACAAAAATAAAAACAGAACATCACATCATAATATGGCCTGCACAAGAGGAGGAGGGGGGGCGTTCACACACACAAATGAACAATTAAAATAAGAAAGAAAAAGATTTAAAACATGACACAAAAAATGTAGGACAACCTCCTCAAATATATATATATAATACTGAACCATTGTTCATGAAGACTGTACTATGGATCTGACCATGAATAAAATAAGACTGAGCGCATGACACAAAAAATCTATTCCACTTGGGACTGTACTATGTTAATATATTTACATAGTTTGTAATTGACTTTATTGAGCTAATTAGTTGCCATATTACACTTTTATTCTGTACATTCATTAGTGACTTGATCCGTTTATGGTCATGGAGGCCCAACTATGAGATTTCAACACTCCCCAATTTTTTCTCTCACAGTTAAAGAAGGTCAAGTAAATTTGTTGAACATTTAATGCCAATGGACAAAACAGAGGGGTGTGTGTCACATTCGATGTTATGGTGAGATAAATTAAGTTGCTTCTGTCATGTGTATGGTGGAGGGAAGCAGGAGAAAGATTTGTGACATGAAATATCATCTTTTAATCACTAACAATTTGAATAGACAAAGCATAGGAGATCCAAAAGAATTGAAACAAATGACCTGTAATTAATAGATGATCAAAATCATACAAGGACATAATTCTCTGTACCTCTGTACTGTCATGAGAAGGGTCTCTTGATAGCATTACTCAGTAAATAAAGCCCTTTACAAGTGTCTGGCCTAGGCAGTTATCCAAATTGGTTTTGGGATAAAATCCACAACTTTTCCAGTGCATCTCAACTGCCTGATGATTCCCTTCTAGAAATGAACAAGGTAGACAATGAATATCGAGGCATACAATGCAAGTTGGATTGCCCCTAAATCAATTCAAAGACTTTTGATTGAGCGATAGAATTCTCCCCACTCTTTTGTTAAGTTTGAGGGTCACTTGGATCATGCCAAAGATTGGGATTCATGGTCACAATACATTTTAAGCAGTGATCCAAATGGCAGATTTTGAGACATGCACGGGATCTTCCCATCTATATTTGTGTAAATTTGCGAAAGCACCCCAAGCTTTGTGATGTTAGCATGCCTCCTTGTCAACTTCTTCAGGTTTCCATCATTACACAATATTTTCTCCCCAGAGGTATAGCCAAAATGTGCTGTCAAGTGTGAAATTGCAAACTTACAGAAAAATAGGTAAAACTAATTACTGATGAATCGGAACTGTAGAAGGTCATGATTCTGAGAAAGTTAATATAGATTACTCGGGAGAGAGCTATAGATTCTTCTTCTTCTTACTGATGAATCGGAACTGTAGAAGGTCATGATTCTGAGAAAGTTAATATAGATTACTCGGGAGAGAGCTATAGGTGTAATATACACATTCCACTTAATTTGGATTTACCCATTGAATGGGCTCAAAGCACCCCGTGTCTATCTCCACAGTAATCTAGTTAAGACACACCGGATACCCCTAGTCTAAGGAGATAAACAAAGACAGCCAACCCCCCTTGAACCACCCCCACCCCCCAAGCGTAAATTGTGGAGAATTTTCGAAATGGAAAAGGGAACTTGACCTTTATCTGGGGGTAGAAGGCTCAAAAGCTCTACTACATCAACAATCTACACGAACTACCCGCCTGGAGTACAAGAAGAGCATGTTGCGTCTCTCAGGCGGCTTCCTTTCAGCCTCTTTAGATTATAGAGCAGGTAGGAGTTGTGGCTTAGCTTTGGGAAGTGATGGCTCGGGGGGCAAGATGGCAGAAAGAAACTTCCTCGTCCTTCCTTGTGGTCCTTTTGGTAACCAGCGATGCGAAGAGCATCCTACATCAAATCCCCAGCCTTACTCGTGAAATCTATCTGTTAAAAGCTTCACACCTTGGCTCTCACTCTATCAGAAATGGGCTCTCGGTGATCCACAGCATATATTACCATGTGTACCTAGCCTATACATGAGAAGCAAGACAAGTTACAAGTGACTCGCGACCACGTCTCTATTATCCATTAGCTTGCGCTACCAAGCCAAGAAATTCCAAGTGTTCAAGTGGAATTATGATCATTCCTACAAATATATGGTTGCCATATGCCATTGAGCAGCAAAAAAGGTGACATATGTAAAAACTCCAACACAGCATCACTTTCTGATAAAACCAAAATTATTTAACAAAGCAGAAAAAATGCCAGCACATAAAATGTAATTTAGGCAAAATTACCTGTGAATCACAGCTCTGATCTTCCTCGGTAACACCAATGTGAATTGGAGGTCTGCATGAAATCAGAAAACACGGCTTCTAACACTGAATCCATAATCTTATAATTCTATGTAACAATTGAACAATTAAATAGGAATGACAAGAAAACTCACGTCTCTGTTTCCAATTTAATGACTCCAAAATCAGAGAGTCGCTTACTCGCGAGTAGCAATTTTAATCGTTGTTTCAACGGAATGCCATCGAGTTCCTCCGACCAAAAACTATCTTGATTTTCATTCTCAGGTTTGATCAGTGTGTTATAAGAATCAGACAATTGAGCCATTTCTTGGAGCTTTCAGATCTGATTATAAACGTCCAATGACATGCCCTCTTTTACAGGAAAAAAAAGGTACGACCTATACAAAGAAATCAATCAAACTTTTTGATCTAGGGTTTTTATTGTAAAGTACATAAACATGTGTATTCAGTGTATAAACATATATAGAGAGAGATGGATAAATCGGGAAGAGTAGAGTACCTATTTTTGTGTCTAGTACGTGGATAGCGAGGTTGGCCACACTGTGCTGCTACCGCGATTTGGCGCGCAATGAGAATTGAAACGCTTTTATCATCTTCGGTTTGTAAGGGAACACGAATGAGAGAGAGAGAGAGAGAGAGGGGACGGTGAAAAAGAAAGAGGAGACTGATTTCGCGAGTCCAACTTGACCAAGAAATTACTCGTATTAAGTTGTGGTCCACCAATTAAAATTAAAAAATATATATTTATTTAAAAAAAAAATTTATACCCATGTGGCCTATATTTGAATTGGATTGCAAGCCGGATCTAGAATTATCTAAGAGCATTTTCAATGGACTTTCTAAAATTAGGTTTTTCGAATTTGTCAAATCATCATTTTTCAATAGCCACGTCAGTATTTTTTTAGAGCCACATTAACGTTTTAGAGTCTCCAAATTTTAGCTATCTGCATTTTCACTCTCCAAAAATTTTAATATTTTAATATTTTTTAAATTTTTAATAAATTATTTTTTTTCTATTTGTTAGGAACAAAAAAATTGTTTGATTAACCAATATATATAGCAGTTAAGGCATTGTTTGGGTCAGTCAAACAGTACCTAAAACGGCTATAATGTCAATGGGAACATTAAAATTTTTGAAAAAGAAAAAAATTCACTTTTTTCTAATTTTTAAAAACTTTTTTTGGCCTAAAAAAGCCTTTAAGGCACTGTTTGGCTGACGGCACTATTTGTGTCAGCTAAATAGTGCCTTAACGGCTCTTTAGTTCAATTATGTTGAGGGGAAAAAAAAAGTCCAAAAAATACTAAAAAATTGATTTTTAGAAGGAAAAAAAAATCACTGCCAAAAACGCCCTTATATGTATTCTGGGCTACAGTGTACTAGACCACAAAAGTTAAAAATCCGTAGGTTAGAAGCCTACAATCACAAACTGGGTCGCCCTTTTTGGCGACCCATTCCGCGACCCAAAACATGGGGCCAATTTTTTAGAGATTCTATTGGAGCAATCTAATAGCTAAAAGAGGCCCAGAATCTCTAAATTTTGGGCGTTGGAGTTGTTCTAACGTGGTAACCCGGGTTTCAAGTAAAGAGGGCAACAAACGAATTGGGACAAAGGCCCTTTCCATACCCGTCTCGTTTAAATTTTGCTATCTCATTTAAAATCGTTTACAAAATAACTTTTGCGCCTCATTCTAATCTTGTTTAAGATTCCATCCCCTTCTCACATGCTTCGCCCTATTTAAAATTTCACTCATCTCTTTTTTACCTAATCATGCCCCTATTAGAATGTCACTGTTTTTAATTCTTTCTTCTTTTTTTCCTAAACATTTTTCAATTATTTTCATTGGGAAATGAATCAATCATGATAGAATAAGTGTAATCAATTATGATATATAAACAATATAATCCAACACCTCCTTAAATTTAAGGTAGGTTATATGAAGTCATCTTGAGTTTGGAGACAATATCGCGGAAGCAACCTGGCTTAAGCGATTTGGTGAAGATGTATACTATCTAATCATGAGAAATAATAGACGCAACTATAAAGTCTTCCGAATAAGGTGATTATGAGCAAGATGGTAATCAATCTCAATGTGTTAAATGATCATTGTGTACAATATGGATTGCATTCCTATTGTCATAATAGATAAAATTGGTAGTGGATAAGGAAACTCTCGTGTCCTGAACGAGCAAACGCAACCACAGAAACTCATAAACATTATCAGCAAGTGCCCCCGTACTTAGCTTGTGTACTAGACCGAGCAACCACAACTTGTTTTTTACTACCCAATAGATGAGTGATGTAACTATGGGGTCCGAATTGCTAACCGGGCCTTACCCGAACCCGATGACACACTAGGGGTAAAATGGTAATTTTATAATATGAGAGGATAATATGCCCTTAAACTAGTCAAATGAAGTTTAAAACAATCATTCTAGTCATTTCATGACATTTTAAGGGGTTTTACGGTCATTGGTTATAATTTCCCAAAAGTGTCTTTACCGGTTCAAGGGAAATTTCGACACTGTTACACTAAAACAATCATATTTCTCAACATAAATGTAATTTGAAGATTAGGTTAGTCTAATTAGAAAGTTAACTCAGAATCCTTGAAAATGGACTCAAGAATGACCCTATTTGGGTTCGGAATGAAGAAGTTTTGCCACACGAAATCAAATGATCCAGGCTGTCAAACTGTGAAAGTTAAAAAATGTACTAGGGACTTGAACTGGTTCAATGGGGCTGAACTTGTTCAAGTTGGGCAGTGTGCCCAACCGTGAACCAAAGGCACTTCTTGAACTGGTTCAATGGGGCTGAACAGGTTCAAGATGACCAGAATCTTGAAATGCCCCAGAAACCTTAAAATTGTGAACTTGTGCATATAGACACCCCTTTGGTCCCTTGGTGACCACATTTAAGGTCTAAACCTGTCCCAATTCATGCATTCAATAGTGTGTAAAAACATACTTAAACTCTCGTGCCTTCAATTAAACTGAATACGAGTCCAATACATCGATTAAAGATCTAATTATAAAAATCTCATTTTATACAATTTCAAAAGAATTAAATACAAAGAATGAGGCCTTCATGGCCAAACTTATATAGCTTTAATAAAAATGAAATGAAATCCTAACTAAATCAATATCCATGGATACATATCATTCACCGACTTATCTCCGAATTCCTAAAAAATGTTAATGATAATAGGTTGAGCTCAACAACTCAGTAGAAAAAGCCTAAAGTACATTCCTAAAAATCCGGTGAGCCGCAACCAAAGAAAAGGAGATCAAATAAAAGTTATCATGGGATTATAAATCATATCAACATACATGAATTTCACAAATTCACAAACCATTCCATCACATATGAAATGCAAATGCTCCCTTTTTTCTTTCCAACCCAACCTCGCTAAAACCTTCATAACCATCACCTTAACTTACAACACAAACCATCATCTCACTTCCTAACCTTCTCTCCCACATCAAACATTCATCCTCTCTACTCAGCTCATGCTAAGAATATGCATATCATACTATCATTCATCAATATACAAATCATTAATTACATCACAATTATCATAACAAAACACCCAAATATAAAAATTGATCATATAAATTATACTTTTGCATTTTCTAATAGAAAATAGCATGCTTGGCACAAATACAAGAAACCATCATATTCTCAACCCACAACAATTAAATCAACACGATCTCATGTTTAACATCACAACAGAAATTTACAAACTAAGCATGCTTCACAACATCAAAATTTTCATGTAAGAAAGTACATAGAAACTCACTAAAATTATAAGACTTATAATTTAAACTTTCCTTACCTCAAGATGATTAGCTAAACAAGCCCTAAGCTTCCCAAGATTCGAAATCCTTCTAAACCTCAGCAATATTGGCCTCAATTTGAAGCTCATGCCAATCTCTCAAACTTCCCTTCTTGCTCATGCTCAAAATCCCACCTTAAACTCTCCAAATCAAAGCTTGAATGATAAATGGCATATATGTGCATAGTTAGAGAGAGAGAATGAGGGAGAGAGATACCCGAAAAATGAGAAGAAAAAAAAAAAAAAGTGAGGGCTTAGTCTTGTAATTGAAGACTTGGCCCTCAGGGTGCCACTTGTCCAAATCTTGTGGACTACTAAATTTAGGCAAAGTTACTTTCTTGCCCTTGGTCTTCTATTGTAATAACATGCCTGCCCCTAAAATATATTCTCAATGAATACATAAATATGCATATATATACACACACGCATATATAAAATGTCAATGACGCCCCTCACTTAAGATGAGAAAACCGAGAGAAGTTCCCGAGTCTGGAAATCATCCCGACTTTCTCAAAATTATAAAAAATGATACTGTCACTTCTAATTGACTTAAAATGATTAAAATAAATTTCCAAAACCCTTGGCTCAAGGAATTAACAAAAACAGCCCTCAGGACCCGCGTGACATGCAAAACAAGGCGATGATTAAAATAATTCAGGAAAAATCAAATAAATTCCAGAAAATAAAAAATAGAAAAAATTGGTAACACTACAAGTTAATCGCCAAGAAATAAACAAAAGCCTATGGTAAAATGACGATTTGTGGGATCGCCTGTCCAGTTTGCATCTGAATAGGTGTAACGACCCACACCAAGAGGTTCGGATCGCTACACGGGTCCTTACCCGAACTCGAGGCCACATAAGGGTACTATGGTCATTTTTCATCAATACAGTGGTTCTAGGGTCCCCAAAGGGCAAAATAGTCATTCGGCATGATCATATATGGCTTAGGACTCAAAAGAGTAAATCTGTCATTTAATAGGGTCATTCAATGGTTAGGAACATGTCTAGGGGTAATTATGTAATTATACTAAAGTTTGGGTCAAAATGCAATTACTGGACCATCTGTGCGCATACTTGGGTCATCTTATCGTTTAGATCAACATTTCAATAAAGACAACAAACTGCAGGGACCATCTGGGCGCACACATAAGGGGATTTGTGCACACAGTTGCCCATCTGTGCTTACACATAGGATGATTTGTGCACACAAGTGCCTAGGGTGCCCATATGTGTGAACACTTCAGAAGATCTGTGTGCATAAATGAAAGATCTGACCAAAATTGTTCACTGCCAAGGCATCTAAACCTTTAGATGGGAGCATCTAACCGTTCAGATGGTCCCCAAATCATATATGATTGTTTAGATCACTTCCTGAGCCTACTTTAACGCAATCCCAAGGCAACTGACATGAAAATTAAACCCCATAAAAATCATTGAACGTACAACCATTGCATTGAATCATCAAAATAACATCTAGTATTCATCATTGATCATTGAATCCCTATGTAAACATTCATACATCATTGAATGATAAAATTAAATCCAAAATAATATAATTACAAATCAAGACCTCCGTGGCCACAAATACAATGACTTCTCTTAAAACCGGCAAAAGCATAAGGTCAATACATGTTATAAAATATCCCAAACTAATGTATTTACAAAAAGATAACAAACATAATCATCAAACTACAACTAAGCTTGCAGGGGTGCTTCATCTACGACATCCTTGCCATTTCTTGAAAATGTTAGAATATAAGATGAGCACAACGGCTCAATAAAGATAGCCTAAAATACACCTCTTATAATCCCGTGAATC